CTGATGTATCATATAATCTATTTACCTTGATTTTATTTTTCACGCAATATTGTGCCTCTCAAGGATTACACCAACGAGGTTCTCGATCTGTCTCAGCCCTCGACATACCGTCGTCTGGATCGTCCGATTGCTGTGCAGACTGACGATCGAGCAGGCTGTGTGGCAACGCATTTTAGCGAAGTTGCCGAGGCTAGACGTCGTGATGAAGAGTTCCGATCACCACTGGCTGGCGAACCGCGTGCCCGTAGACTCGGGCTCAGACTCGGTCTTAGCCTGGGCCTGATTCAGCCTCAAAAGACCTCTTCAACAGCCGAAGATTCGGCTGACTATGCTGCAAATGACGGCAGTCTTACAGGCCTTTTGGTCTGTCCTGCCTATCATTATCCTTCGTATTGCTGTAATGAAGCGATCGCGTTGCACTACCTCTTCCGAATGCCGCCATATACAACTCGGCTTATCCGTTTCCAGGGTTAGAACGGCTGTAAAGTCTTGTGTATTGTGTCTTGGCTGCGATAGAATATGCAAAATATTTAATTTTTCAATAAATGCTGCATTTCTCTGCCCCGTTTTAATTGAGTCTCAATGATCTCACCTGCACACATTGAAACTGGTTGGTTTAAGGTGTGGAAAAGACATTTTTTTGCTTCTTATCACTATGAGAATAATTTTTTTATCACCAACCGAAGCATCGCAACCTCACTTTTTCAACATCCAATTAGTCAGCTGATCGTCATTTGAGGATCTTGGGGTTGGATGTTATTGGAAATGAATTTTCTAAGCTATCTGCAGCGCGTTACTTTAACTTTTTACACAGTCACGAAGAGCGATTTACGTGTCTTCAAGCGAAAGAAGCTCAAATTGTGGATAAAGTAAAGTGGAGCTTTTGTTTAATATCATTTTATGCCAGACGTAGATTTTACTCCAAGCAAATTTTAATGCATGTATTGTCAAAAGGCGTTTACTTTGCAAAAACTATCTAAGTTATCGCGAGAGTTAACAGTCTGGGGTGTACATTTTGTAAATTAATAACTAAAGTACCAAAACCTATTCAATATTAAATTAATTTCTAAAATCCTACTTACTTTGAATGTACAATTAGACATTTGATTACCATCGGATGATCTGCTGTATTTGGCCTCTGTAAACAATTTCATAAATAATGTTGGTTTGATTTTGTTTTCGCAACTTAGTCGGAGCGTGCCTAGTCCTACGTCATCTGCCATAGTATTCACTCCCAGACGTTTCGCCGGCGTTGTCGTTAGCATCGTCGGTGAGAGGCGCCATCCTTAGCACATAGTTACAACTTATTAACTTTAAAAAGCATTTACCAAATCAATTTGATAAGTTGTAACTCTGGGCTAATTACAATGTTTTTGATACGTCTTGTAATGTACCACGTCAAAGGTCTACTGCTAGCAATTATCATTATTACTATGGCAGAGGACGCTCTAAACAAGTTGCGAAAGCGAGGTCGAACTAACGCTACATAACCAAAAGATACTGCTACAAAAAACGAAAAGCCACATCATCTTTGTCTTCATGCATGCGCTTCATAAATAATGCCTATTAATGAGTTTCAGATCCCTATTCTTCAATCATATATCGCCTCGTTTTCCATTCCTCCGATCCTCTAGACAATAATTTTGATGTCCCCGATCGCAGCTTTCATTCTCTCGCAACGTCTTGGTATCTTGCTACCAACTCTGTGTCCTGTGCCAAAGAACTTATTCCTGAGTTTTTCTTCCTGCCTGAATTTCTGATAAACCATGAACATTTGGAAATCGGTACCAAACAAAATGGCATGGTTATCAACGATGTTATCCTTCCACCGTGAGTGATATTTTTTTATTTATCACATTTGTTAATGCAAACGTTATTAATTTCAATTATTCCCTTTTTGTCAAAGAATACTGCTGTTTATTTACTTGGGCTTTCGATATCTTGCTCTTGCTCATACTATTTTCTTTTGTTCAGAATGTTTCTATAGGAGTTTGCAATTTTTTATTTTTGTGGTTTTAGTATAGCAATCTTCTTATTGTAACACATTCTCGCAAATTGTTCCAATAGCCTGAACAGGCATCTTTTTCTAGATACTTTTTTAGCCCAGATCAAGCTTGGCATTGATCATTTAAATGGTCTTCACAGCTTTGCCACTTGGTCATAGAAACGTTTTGAATAGTGTACAGCTCTGTAGCACTCCTGCGTTCGGATTACCTTCTCTTGCAATACTACTTATCAACAAGACCTTGCTACAATTTGCGAGAGGAAACCTATAAATGTCCAGATTTTCCAATAGTGATCCTCTAATTTTTACGGTCTACGGTGTTAAATCTGTTTTTGTATATCAAGTATATATTTTTAAAAGGTTGCCCTTGCAGATGGCCAAGCTCTTACGCATTGAGTTTGAGAAGCTTCTAATTCATTATGACACTTACTTTCGCTATGCAACGGCTCCCAAGTTTCCGAGTAATGCTTTGATTCTCACTTATTTTATAAATCAGCAAAATGTTGTTCCTATTCAAGAAACTTCATACTTTTGTCAATAGGTGCATAGTGATTTCAAGAGATACTGACTGATATAGATGCTATCTTGACATTTTGATTTCCTATTTTTTGCCACTTAAATTCAAGTGCCCATTGTAGCCTCTTATCAACACTGTGATGCAACCGAGATTTCTTGTTGATTCGATTATCATGAAATGATCCTTTGATTTTAACTAGAGCACATCCCTTTGAATTAAAGCAAAAGCTACTTTGAGTTTCATGTCTTTTATTCATTTTTTTACCTTTTTTTACTCGCTTTAATGCAGATTGCCAATTTTACATAATTTTGCAATGTTGTCGATGCGCGTAGACGTCAACTGGCTTCTCCATTAGACTGAGCGAATTCATCAACGATCACTTTTTGCAATAAATTTTACTTTCGTTGCATCCAAAAAGATCATTCTTATCGAGACTGGACCGAAGCTTTGAACTAAGATCTCATCCGTAACACACGGTTGAGTCTAACCATGGATTTGTGGTTTAAAGACAAATATGTTAAGACGAAGTCAAATAGGCTGATATTACACATTTTATTTAAAAATTAAGATAGTTGTATAAAAATGATTTGAGCCCTATATTTTGACATATTTAGGAATGCTCTTGGAGTTTATGATTTATTTGTTCAGAGCAGGCAGTATTAACTTCTTAAGCCTACTCTTGAAATTGCCGGGATCGGATGAATGTGATTACGCTTCAGTAAATCTACTTGAATCGACACTTGGGCGATATTGAAAGAAAGAATAACACAGAATAGTGTGGACAGGTAAATGGGTGATATGAAATGTGATTGGGAGAAAAGGATGCAGCACTAGAGGGTAGGACAACAAATAAAGAAGATGAGTGAGCTAAAACGGCTTAACAGAAAAGTTGTCAAGGGGATTATCTTCATGTGTCACATTGATAAGTTGATATTTTGTGCCGCAGCTTGAGGTATTAGAGGTAAAATATTTCCTCGGCGAGTAGAAAAATCCAACGACACTTCTGAAAACTCCTTTCCTGCTATTTTTGCAGCCCCCCTTCATGTGTGGAGAGATTATTCCAACATAAATGAGCTTTACTTAGTTTTGTATGAGTGCACAATATCGAGAGAGATCCGACTATGATGGCTAGCATTTATTGCTAAACCCAATTCATAAGAGTTATCTGGAATAGTAACTTGGACTACCAACTTTGCAAATTGCTCCAACACTACAGCCATTGGATAATTGCTAATGGACCCTTTGACTACTTTTGTTTTTCGTACGTAAGTTGAGTTTCGGGACTACCAGTAAATCAGTTACATGAGATGTTTTCACCATATTTCGTTTAAGGTGATGAAGGACTGGCAGGAGAATTTTCCCACAATCATATGAGTACAGTTGTCGTTTTCAGTGACTTTCACATTGCCTTGCTTTCCCAAAAGTTGTTTTTATCCCAGCTGGAATGGACTGCATTTTCCACCTCGCATAGGTCTTATCAACACCCCCAGCGGGAGTCGAACCGTGATACAATGTTTTTTATATTTATTTATATACACAACAGTATAAATATACCAATATAATATATTATATTTGATGCTACATTATACCGAATTTTTAGAATGCATGCAAACAGAGCATTTATTCCATTTTGGCTGCTGGCTGATTTTGAGGATATTCCTTTTGGCTTTAGAGTGCATAGAGTATACACAAGCGTTACTTTGCCTAGTCTGCTCAGAAAGACCAAGGTAAGAATGTGAATAATCCTTCGAAATAGTAGACCTCAAAAGTCTCCGCGTCTTACTCAGGATGACCACCGCATCGATTTGAAATCTGCTTGGAGTCCACTTTGATTTATTATATGAGATCAAGTATGTCGGTACGTCATAATGAAAGGCTCAGACCTGATTTTATAGGTTTTATGCTTGAAACAATCCCATTTTCATTAGCCACCCAGTTCCCTCTGTCTTGCTTTATTCTCGGGGAACATTTAAATACTTTTTATAACGTAGATATGAAGATGTCGCCCTTAGATGTACAGCAGTGATTTGACCTTGTTCTCCCAACTTGGTCGTAGTGTCATGGTGACCTAGTTGGACGCACCTTGTCCGAAGTCCTCTGCCATAGTGTGTATCATAATTCCTAGCGTTGTTCCTTCGACTTGGGCATCGTTTAACCAAAAGATTTCGGATACTTCTGATGACATTTCATGTTGTCATTCGTAGATCTTTCGCCTCCATGATGGCAGTGAGATGGCAGTAATAGACTAATCACCCTAGCAATTGGGTTTTAATGTTGCTTTGTTGTGGATGCTATGACGTCTCGGTGTGAAATTATCCGCATTTGGCGTGCCACACATACTTTTCATCTGTCTTCACAGAGCATTTTGAAGAATAAACGCTTACATCGAGCATAATAAAATTTTACTTGCTTGGCAATCTTAAAGCAAAGGCTTCCAATCCCATAGTTTGCAATACATAGTTTGTCACAGTACACTTATTTCTCTTGTATTTGTCTCGATTTTTCGTTTCAGCTGGGCCAAACGCGACGCTCGCCTCTTCATCATGGTCAACCGAGCTGTTCTCGAAAGTAATTATGTCTCTAACAATTTGGCCGCTTGGGTTGATCTGACTTTTGGCTACCAGCAGACTGGAAGACGAGCACAAGAGGCCTTGAATCTCTACCATCCTTATGTGGGTTTGTCAATCTAGACAACGCGTTTTTCCAGCGACTTGCATTGTTTCTCGAATCACTCAGCCTCATCTGGGCGAGCGATTTTGTCTGGTTATCTGAAACTTCCACAACCGGTTTGATTGCTCATAAGCTTGCAAACACAATAGTCTTCAAATCTTTACTTTTGCCGTTGTGATTGTATTTTTATGAGTAGTCGTTCTGGGTGTACTGGCGAGCGCCTTATATCCTAATTTCACGGAATTAATGCCAAACTTTATTGTCTTTAAAAATTTATTAGTAAATACCTTTACTTGTACAGATTTCTTCTCTATTGCACCGCGCAATATGAAATGCTGTACCTGATTACATTTGCCTCTTCTGCTTCACTGAAACCTGTTGCTAGCACTTTACACCAGTTATTAAGTCTCATTGCATTTGTGTCTTATCAATTAATTGTTGCTGTGATGTGAAAATCTGTCTGAAAACTGTGTACCTTGGCATTCAATTGAATGTGGTTCCAAACTAGTCCACAGAGAGGGCTTTCTTTGCCCTCTATTTATAGCCTTATTCAGATCTGGAAGCTGACTAAAATTTTTCACACTATTCCGCAACATCAGCGCTTTCTACCCAGCATTTGGCTTTTACATATCTTAGTGATGGGTAGATGCAGTTTCGGGTCCCTCTCTATGTAATGATAGTGCTGACTATTTTTGCTCCTTCACTCCTATTAATCATGGTTCCAGTAGAAAAAAGAATCTACCACCATTGGGGCTTAGCGGAGCCATGCGATCCAAGAACACCGAATGAAATGTGTCAGTAAATCAGATTGCCATGGACAAAACCAAGACAGTCTTATGCTAATTGAGTTCAAGATGTAAAGTATGTGAAGCTGAAAGTTTTAGAGGTAGATATGGAGGATAAAAGCACTTTATGAACTATTTCATCTCTATACTTTGATTGTCGAATACTGCTCGTATTTTGCGTGGTATCCTACGCATGAAAAGACCCTCACAAATTCACTTTTGGCTCGATTTTAGAGGATTTGCATTGTTGTCCTAATGGAAGATGCAAAAATATAAGGTTATAAAAGTCCTGTCCCAATTTGCTATCCTCCAAACATCCATAATCTGCGGGATTGTGCGGCTACTCTTGTCTCTTGCACATAAATTGAGCAAAATTTATTCCTCCGTTCTCGACCATACTGTTGACAAAATGATAATCAATGTAGTTAGGGCAGCATCTTCTAGCTTATAAACTCCCAATTGAGTCCGGAATTCATTCTTTCAGACCAGCTAGAGCTAAATGATTGCTGTTCTTTAAACAGCTTGACGGCCCTAGGATGCACTCTTCACTTTCGAAATGTCTTAAGGCTCTGGACCTTCTTCGAGAAGATTATAGT